TATGTTCACAGAAAATTTTATCTCTAAGTGTTGAGTTATACTGAACTGGACATATAACAATCTGAAGTAGTTCAGTTTCATAAAACTAATTTTTTTGGACAATCTTTTAAATTGAGTTTTTTTTTACAATCGTTCAAAAGAATTGAAACCATATAAATAAAAAAGAAGCAAAGCACAAACTACATTTTGATAACTTAAACCTTTCTAAAAGTAAAGAGTTTATGAAGTGACATGCTTATTTTATGAGAGACAGCTATCGATGTTCATCTAAACTCTTTATCATTTTCATATAATGAACAATTTTTCTTCCCAAATATCATATTTGAAAGAGCTTGTGACGCTGCAAATTTACTAGAAAATGATGTTTATTGCTATGGTTTCAGTTCTTTTGAACGATTGTAAAAGAAAAATAACTCAATTGAAAAGATCATCCGAACAGTTTTGTCCCCTATTAATTGTATTAAAATCAATTTTCTCCATTTATTTCTCAAAATGCTGAATTAAATTCTCATGAAACTTTTTCATAATCGTTTCATTGGAGTTTCTTATAAATAGGAACTCATCATCTCATGGGATTGGAAGTAATTTATTAATTCAATAAAAAATCTGTACAAGTAATCATATGTTTATTCCTCAAAAAAAGTTAAATTTTTTCTTTTATTATGATAAAATATTTCTATTATACATAGAGAAAAGAAAATAATTCAGAATCTTGACGTAATCATCGATAGTCGAAGATGACGATGAACAGATTGTCTTTCTCATGATTATATTTTGAATAGTTACCGAGATAGATCAACTGTTTATCGATTAGCTCATATTCTTCTAATGTATTTTTGAGAATACTTTCAAACGGGTTATTGCATCAGTCAATCTATATTCGAAAATATGCGAACGAAAAATTTTGAGAACATTCACAAATGTTTTATGAGAAAGTTATTTTAATCTATATTAAAGGATTCTCATTCTTTCTTAGCGATTTTCTCATGAATAAAGGATTGTTTAATATACAATTACATGAATAGTCCATGGGCAGGCTATCTTTTTAGAAAAAATCATGAGTTGATCAGGATCAATGATCAATAACTCACAATCAAACTTTCTTCCACTCAGTCTGTCCTAGTGAGACCTTTGGTTCATTTACAAAGCCAAGAAAATGAAACTTGTATACAATATGCTTCAGTATCACAGCTGTATTTCTTCATAACTTGCAGACAGAGAAATAGGACCGTTTACAGCGAAATATTGTGTAAGAACGGATGATGCATAAAGGTTTCGCATATGGACTAGCTAAATGACAATGTTTACGATCGTAATAGTGAACAATGTAATGCGCCAATAGACGACAACTTATGATCGTTTAGGAGTGCAATTGTTCGGTCTAAATTAATTTATATGATGACTAAAAGATTTACAAGGAAAGAAGCTAGATAAATTAAAGATAGCCACTAACTCCCATCATAGATATTGTTCGTCCTTTATAAAGCCTAATTGACATACTTTATATTAATTTATCTCTAATGAAAGAAATACTTTGTTACTGTAAACACAGCTTCACCTCAAACATAATACTGTTTATGTATGAACTATAATAATAAGCATATTGAATGTGTTTAAAGTAAAAGAAGTAAGATAGCAGAAAGTGAAATATCCCAACTTTTGTTAAGCGTGATTTTCAAATATCGAAGTGTTTTATTTTATTTTTTGCATTGATTGTGTCGACAGAGGCTCTCTTCTTAGGATTGTTTTTAATTGGTGGCTAGAGAAGTAAGATATGAATCATATGTTTCTTTCTTGTCTACCAAAGGATAATCATCTATTGAAATAAAATTCTTCATATAATTGTGGTTTTTGTTTAAAGAAAAATGTTGAAAATTCGAGCTTGTTCAAGTATAATTCATCGTTATCAATCAACATCATCTTCTGTTTCTATTAATCATTTAACAAATGATGAAATTCGTGCTCATCGTCTTCGAGTGTTTGCTAATGAACGTCAAACACAAATAGAACGTATACGTCGTGTAGAAAAAATTGAAGTTGATGTTCATGATCCAATTCAATCAACAAAATTATTAATGAATAAAAATATCTCAACACCTTATCATTGTGCTCAACATTTATCGTCAGTTTTAGTTGAACGATCTTGTTTAGCTTTAGTTGATGATCAATATATATGGGATATGAATCGTCCATTAGAACGTGACTGTACACTAAAATTTCTTCATTTTATGGAACATAAATGTGAAGAACAAAATCGTGCTTATTGGAGAACATGTTCATTTATTATTGGATATATACTCGAAACAGCTTTTAAATCAAATTATCATGTTGAACTTTGTTCATTTCCACCACCACAATTTCAATTTGGATCATTTGCTTATGATGCTAAACTTAATTTAGGTAAATATAGAAAAGAATGATTAAATCAATTGTTTTCTATGGATATCGTCTTTTTTCCCAGGTGATTGGCAACCTAGTCGTGATGATCTTCGTTGTTTATCAATTCAAGCATATAAATTACGTGATCGTGATCTTCGTTTTGAATGTTTACATATAAGTAAATCAATAGCTGAAGAAATGTTTGCATATGATAGATTTAAATTAGCTCAAATACCTCATATGCTTCGTTTAATATCACCTGATGATAATCAAGCTCGTTTAACTGTTTATAGAATGGGTGATTGTCATGTTGATATAACTCGTGGACCATTAATATCATCAACAAAACAAATAGGAAGATTTGAATTTAGTGCTATTCATAATATTGATGTTCCATCTTATGGTGAACAACTGCAACGTGTTCAAGCACTTTCAATACCTAATCAACTTCATTTACATTATTGGACCTTTGATTATTTATTAGAACGAGCAAAAACGAAAAATCGAGCATCTCTACCATCTTTACCAAGAATAAAAACATCAGAGAATAATACAGAACAAGTTCAATAGTTTCGTATTTCAGTAAGAAAACAAAAGCTTGTTGATTTTTCTATGTTGTTCTACTTTAAGTAAAAATTGTTTGTTTTTTGTACAAGTGAAATATATTCTCTCTTTGTTTAGTGAACTAAGAAAAAAAATTTAAACTAAAATATTGAATAAGTTGTTTTTTTTTAGGGAAAAACAAAGAGAATGACACTTCTCTGATGATCTTTCTGTTTTTCTTTTGTTTGTTTTAGATAGATTGTTTTTTATTTCAATGTCACCTTAGTTTAATTGATAATATCAATTTGAAACGAACATATACCTATGTATATTAAGTACATAATTCGTATTCATTACATAAAATCACAATTCAGATAAAAATCATGAAATTGTTTTATCAATATTTTAGTTCATTTAAGAAAAAAAAACACTTTATGAAATAAAACGACCTTTGATATAATGTCTCGTCAAAACTAAAAAATTGTTAATAGAGAAGAACTTCGTGTTGATGTTTCGCATCAATTCACAATTAATATTTGAGTTTTGTTCTATGAATAGTAGATGTTTATCTTTTCTCCCTTTTTCTCTCCTTCATAAATTGCCCATTTTCTATTTTCTATTTTGCCTTTACAGAAGAAAAAAGAAAGAAAGAGACAATATTATAAATAGTTTTCTTTCTTGTCTGTGCAACTGAAAAGCAAACTCAACTTCGATACATACAAAGTGTGCGTACGTATTTTTATTCATAAAAGAAGATCAACTTAATCATCTTACATTAGTATTTCTTTTATATAATCCTTTGAAAACAAAACGTTCTTGTTATTTTTGTTTTTTTTAATCTAAAAGTACAGTCACTAATAAAAAAAAAAGATATTTTTTTTTTCAGATAATAAACTTTTGATTTTTATATGTGCAATAAAACTCAGGTATTATTAGTCTTGAAGGAAATTTCGATAAATAAAATCTATCCTTATTGATTATCATCAAAAGTGTCAAGTAAATAAAAGGTGTATAACTAAAGATAATTTCATAAATATATAATTTGAATTTCTATGAATTTTAGTTAATTGATATAACAGTAATGTCAAATAAAGTATTATCGTCATTGAATGAATCATCAATAAGAATTGATATGACACCTCCTATTCGTAGAGTTACTGCTGATGCTTTATCGTCGATTTCACAAGATAATATTAGTTCAAATGAACAAATTAATATAAATACAAATGTATCTTATCCATTAATTTCAAAAAGAAAAACAA